GTTATGGATTTTGGTGCGTTTTAGACATTTTTGCTCATTTTAGGCATTTTGTGACATTTTACCGCATTTAGGATATTTGAAGATTTTTTTTTAGTTTACCGCGTTTTAGGTATTTTGTGATGATTTAGTGCGTTTTAGGCATATTGGACGATTTGACGCATTTTAGGCTATTTTAGACATTTTACATCTTTTTGGGCATTTTGAGTATTTTGGGGCATTTTTAACGATTTTAGGGAATGTTATAGATTTTAGCATGTTTTAGCCATTTTTGTGCATTTTAGGTATTTGGGGCATTTTCAGAATTTTGAGACATTTCGCTGCATTTGGGGCATTTTGAATATTTTGGGGCATTTCGGCTGATCTTAGGGCATGTTATGGATTTTGGTGAATTTTAGTTTATTTTTTGCGCATTTTAGGTATTTTGGGGCATTCTAAGCATTTTGGGACATTTCGCTGCATTTTGGGCATTTTGAGTATTTTAGGACATTTTTGGCAATTTGAGTAACTTTAGGGCATGTTATGGATTTTGGTGCGTTTTAGACATTTTTGCCTTATTTAGGTATTTTGGGGCAGTCTAAGCATTTTGGGACATTTTTCTGCATATTGGGCAGTTTAAGTATTTTGGGACATTTTTGACATTTTGAGTGATTTTAGGGCATGTTATGAATTTTGGTGCGTTTTAGACATTTCTGCCCATTTTAGGTATTTTATGGCATTTTAAGCATTTTGGAATATTTCGCTGAATTTAGGGCATTTTGAGTTTTGGGACATTTTTGGCATTTTGAGTGATTTTAGGGCATGTTATGGATTTTGGCACCTTTTAGCCATTTTTTTTCATTTTTGGTATTCAATGGCATTTTAGGTAATTTTAGGCATTTTAGGCATTTTGTGACATTTTACCGCATTTCGGATATTTTGAAGCATTTTTTGCATTATACTGCATTTTAGGTTTTGTGGTGATTTAGTGCGTTTTAGGCATATTTGGTGACTTAACGCATTTTAGGCTATTTTAGACATTTTACATCATTTTGGGTATTTTGAGTATTTTAGGACATTTCGCTGCATTTTAAACATTTCGGGTATTTTGAGGCATTTTTGGTATTTCGGGTGATTTTAAGGCATGTTATGGATTTTGGCACCTTACAGCCATTTTTTTCATTTTTGGTATTTAATGGCATTTTAGGTAATTTTAGGCATTTTGTGACATTTTGCCGCATTTAGGATATTGGAAGCATTTTTTCATTTTACTGCGTTTTAGGTATTTTGTATTGATTTTGTGCGTTTTAGGCATATTGGGTGATTTAACACATTTTAGGCTATTTTAGACATTTTACATCATTTTGGGAATTTTGAGTAAATTGGGCATTTTAGGGAATTCATGTGATATTAGGGCATGTTATGGATTTTTGGGCCTTTTAGCCATTTTTGCGCATTTTAGGTATTTTAGGGCATTTTAATCATTTTGGGACATTTCGCTGCATTTTGGACAGTTTGAGTATTTTGCGACATTTTTTGGCAATTTGAGTGATTTTAGGGCATGTTATGGATTTTGGTGCGTTTTAGACATTTTTGCTCATTTTAGGCATTTTGTGACATTTTACCGCATTTAGGATATTTGAAGATTTTTTTTAGTTTACCGCGTTTTAGGTATTTTGTGATGATTTAGTGCGTTTTAGGCATATTGGACGATTTAACGCATTTTAGGCTATTTTAGACATTTTACATCTTTTTGGGCATTTTGAGTATTTTGGGGCATTTTTAACGATTTTAGGGAATGTTATAGATTTTGGAATGTTTTAGCCATTTTTGTGCATTTTAGGTATTTTGGGGCATTTTCAGAATTTTGAGACATTTCGCTGCATTTGGGGCATTTTGAATATTTTGGGGCATTTCGGCTGATCTTAGGGCATGTTATGGATTTTGGTGAATTTTAGTTTATTTTTTGCGCATTTTAGGTATTTTGGGGCATTCTAAGCATTTTGGGACATTTCGCTGCATTTTGGGGTTTTTATTTTTGGCAATTTGAGTAACTTTAGGGCATGTTATGGATTTTGGTGCGTTTTAGACATTTTTGCCTTATTTAGGTATTTTGGGGCAGTTTTTTTTCTGCATTATTTTTTGGACATTTTTGACATTGAGTGATTTTAGGGCATGTTATGAATTTTGGTGCGTTTTAGACATTTCTGCCCATTTTAGGTATTTTATGGCATTTTAAGCATTTTGGAATATTTTGCTGAATTTAGGGCATTTTGAGTATTTTGGGACATTTTTGGCATTTTGAGTGATTTTAGGGCATGTTATGGATTTTGGCACCTTTTAGCCATTTTTTTCATTTTTGGTATTCAATGGCATTTTAGGTAATTTTAGGCATTTTAGGCATTTTGTGACATTTTACCGCATTTCGGATATTTTGAAGCATTTTTTGCATTATACTGCATTTTAGGTTTTGTGGTGATTTAGTGCGTTTTAGGCATATTTGGTGACTTAACGCATTTTAGGCTATTTTAGACATTTTACATCATTTTGGGTATTTTGAGTATTTTAGGACATTTCGCTGCATTTTAAACATTTCGGGTATTTTGAGGCATTTTTGGTATTTCGGGTGATTTTAAGGCATGTTATGGATTTTGGCACCTTACAGCCATTTTTTTCATTTTTGGTATTTAATGGCATTTTAGGTAATTTTAGGCATTTTGTGACATTTTGCCGCATTTAGGATATTGGAAGCATTTTTTTCATTTTACTGCGTTTTAGGTATTTTGTATTGATTTTGTGCGTTTTAGGCATATTGGGTGATTTAACACATTTTAGGCTATTTTAGACATTTTACATCATTTTGGGAATTTTGAGTAAATTGGGCATTTTAGGGAATTCATGTGATATTAGGGCATGTTATGGATTTTTGGGCCTTTTAGCCATTTTTGCGCATTTTAGGTATTTTAGGGCATTTTAATCATTTTGGGACATTTCGCTGCATTTTGGGCAGTTTGAGTATTTTGCGACATTTTTTGGCAATTTGAGTGATTTTAGGGCATGTTATGGATTTTGGTGCGTTTTAGACATTTTTGCTCATTTTAGGCATTTTGTGACATTTTGCCGCATTTAGGATATTGGAAGCATTTTTTTTTAGTTTACCGCGTTTTAGGTATTTTGTGATGATTTAGTGCGTTTTAGGCATATTGGACGATTTAACGCATTTTAGGCTATTTTAGACATTTTACATCTTTTTGGGCATTTTGAGTATTTTGGGGCATTTTTAACGATTTTAGGGTATGTTATAGATTTTGGCATGTTTTAGCCATTTTTGTGCATTTTAGGTATTTTGGGGCATTTTCAAAATTTTGAGGCATTTCGCTGCATTTGGGCATTTTGAGTATTTTGAGGCATTTCGGCTGATCTTAGGGCATGTTATGGATTTTGGTGCATTTTAGTCATTTTTTGCGCATTTTAGGTATTTAAGCATTTTAGGTAATTTTTAAGCATTTTGGGGCATTTTAAGCATTTTGAGACATTTCGCTGCATTTTGGGCATATTAAGTATCTTGGGGCATTTTTGGCAATTTGGGTGATAATAGGGCATGTTATGGATTTTGGGGCGTTTTAGCCATTTTTGTGCATTTTAGGTATTTTGAGGCATTTTAAGCATTTTGAGACATTTTGCTGCATTTTGGGCATATTAAGTATCTTGGGGCATTTTTGGCAATTTGGGTGATAATAGGGCATGTTATGGATTTTGGGGCGTTTTAGCCATTTTTGCGCATTTTAGGTATTTTATGGCATTTTAAGCATTTTGGGACATTTCGCTGCATTTTGGGCATTTTGAGTATTTTGGGACATTTTTGTATTTCGGCTGATATTAGGGCATGTAATGGAATTTTGGGCGTTTTACCCATTTTTGCGCATTTTAGGTATTTTGGGGCATTTTAATCATTTTGGGACATTTTGCTGCATTTTGGGCATTTTGAGTATTTTGGGCCAATGTTGGCATTTCGGGTTTTATTAGGGCATGTTATGGATTTTGGGGCATTTAGCCATTTTTGCGCATTTTAGGTATTTTATGGCATTTTAAGCATTTTGGGACATTTCGCTGCATTTTGGGCATTTTGAGTATTTTGGGCCATTTTTGGCATTTCGGGTGATATTAGGGCATGTAATGGAATTTTGGGCTTTTTAGCCATTTTGGGGCATTTTAGGTATTTTGGGGCATTTTTAGAATTTTGGGACATTTCGCTTGCGCATTTTGAGTATTTTGGGGCATTTTTGGCAATTCGGGTGATATTAGGGCATGTTATGGATTTTGGCACGTTTTGGCCATTTTTTTTTTCATTTTTGGTATCTAATAGCATTTTAGGTAAATTTAGGTTTATTTAGGCATTTTATGTATTTTTTGACATTTTATTGCATTTGGGATTTTTTGAAGCATTTTTTTGCATTATACTGCGTTTTAGATCTTTTGTGGTGATTTAGTGCGTTTTAGGCATATTGGGTGATTTAACCTATTTTAGGCTATTTTAGACATTTTACATCATTTTGGGAATTTTGGGACATTTCGCAGCATTTTGGTTATTTTGAGTATTTTGGGGCATTTTTGGCATCTCGGGTGATTTTAGGCCATGTTATGGATTTTGGCACGTTTTAGCCATTTTTTTCATTTTTGGTATTTAATGGCATTTTAGGTAATTTTAGGCATTTTAGGCATTTTGTGACATTTTAAAGCATTAGGGATATTTTGAAGCGTTTTTTTCATTTTATTGCGTTTTATATATATATTTTGTGGTGATTTAGTGCATTTTAGGCATCTTGGGTGATTTAACGGATTTAGGCTATTTTAGACATTTTACATCATCTTGGGCATTTTTAGTATTTTGAGGCATTTTGGCATTTCTAGTGATCTGGGCATTTTCCATCCGCATCCGCAATCCGTATCCGTATTTTACCCTTACCCATTTGCGGTCAGTGTTCTTCAGAATTATACAAATATATTCTTTCGATCCACTCTAGATCTTTTGTTTTCTGGTGCTGATTTTCATGATTCAAATTGTTGCTTTTGCAATGGGAATGTCGCAGAGGACAAAGGTAGTTAGCATCCAACAAATATTTAATAAACCCTTTCAATCATTTCACAACGTCACAACATTGAGCCATAAAAGGAAGATATATATTTATTTGTTTTCTCTAGTAAGCTATTTTTAAAGATCGACAAATCATCATTCTTCAACACCAACATTTTAATGTGTATTTTCCTTTTTACGTATATTCTAGTGAAAAATCAGCTTTGACTTATGGTTTTAATTATTTTTTTATTGTTTACGAACACGTTATTACACATACATACCTTTGCGGATTTGGCTGTATATTCTTGTTAGTAAATCAGCGTTACAGGTTATGGTATTTTTGAACTCGTGCTATTCGCTTTCTTAATGGCAGATTGAAGATGAAATGCATGAGCGTATGAATAAAACTCTCCGGGAATACAAGACGAAGGGTAATGGCAAAATTACTAAAGCGTGGGACTGGGCGCAACAAAAGGTAACGTTTACTGTACATAGGCATCAAAAAATATATGCCTCAAGGAAACAAGGACGTTCCATGGAATGTTGGCATTTTAAGAACTTTCATAATTGCAAAAAGACAATAGTCTAAATGGCAAGAAACCCGTGCATATTTAAGCATTCAGTTATTATTACCTTTATGCCGACTTTCTTATTTATTGATTTTGAAAAGGGTTGGCTTAAAATGCGGATACGGATGTGGAGCGGATATATATGGTTAAAATGCGGCGAAGAGATAAACTACCGTTTAGAAGATCAATGAAACATTTTTATTTCAGACATAAAAAGAATATAAATAGGAATTACTTTCAGCAGTCACTCTCACATTTCATTCTCATAAGGCAGTTCGACCATACGAAGCCTATATACACATTTGATTATAGTACACACTTTTCGCATTTGACCCCATATCCGTTCCGCATTTTAACCCCATATCCACTCCGCATTTTACCCCTATATCCGTTCAATCGATCCGTCCCGCAACCGTAACCACATTTTAGCCAACCCAAAAAATGTAGAATTCCACAAAATCTGCATGATGATCCAACTGTCAGAACTGACTGGGCGATATTGCTATGAAACTAGAGCATTACATTCAGCACACTTCACATGGTGTTTATTTTACGTTGAAATCTCTTCGTGTACTTGTAATGTCTCAACAAATTAGAGTATTTGACCACATGTGCAATTCTTTTATATATAGCACAATTTAAAATACGAAGGAATCACTTATACATACATTTCTTTAGTTTAAATGTTGTGGAGTGTATAATTACACAGACTGGAGATTCTCCGTGACGGGATTCAATAAGGAAGACAGCCTCGTTCCTGACAGTTGCTGTAAAGTAGAATACAAAGGTTGTGGAAAGTTTAATCAAACAGGCTATTTCAACGTGACAAGTCATGTGAACAAGACTGAAATTTATGATGGTGTACGTACAATATTGCTGTAATGTACATGAGGATACGTGGGTATATGAGGAAGCAGAACAGTACTGGGAAAATGTGGCAAGCGCATACAGGCCTTTTTTATTTTTAATTAAACTTTTCTATTCAGTTGTTAAACCCTGATAAAGAAAGAGTGAATTTTGTTTTCAGCGCATTTCATTTTAGCGATAACTTACTCAGACAGCGTAGATTCATTCTTTAAGCTGCTGGTTGATCTAATTTATTTCTTTTTAGGGTTGTATACATGATGTAAAAAAAACTATCGGGGATCATTTGCTGACCACAGGATTAGCAACGCTTGCATTTCTAATCTTGGGGGTAATTCTCAGTTATTATAGTTCTTGTTTTTTTTGCATATTGACATCAATAAGTGAATTAGCTTGAGGCAGTAGGCACACCACGTGAGTATTTAGGACTGCAAAATCTATCGGTAATCTTTGATAACCCTTCATTAGTGCAATCAGCTAATTCACTTAATTATAGTTATGGTGCAAATTTTCCATAAGATCAGCTTTTTTGAGAACTTAAGTTAAAGTCACTTGATTAAGGTCACTTGACTAAGGTCACTTGATATTATCGTTCCTTTTTGTTATAAATTAGCAAGCTTTATGTTATCGTGCAAAACCCAAATACCTCGAAGACATTTTTAGACATCAAGGACAGTTTTGATCGTAACTTCGCTATAACTACGCTATAATTTCGCTAAGAAGATTGCGGAATGCGTATTCGGAAGAAAAATTGAGCTTTTTTAAGATATTCAAAAAGTTTCACTTTAATAGCGATACAGAAAAGCACAATTGTGAACCAGCAATTAGATTTTCGGGTGTAAAGTCTTAAACACCAATTTCTGCGCCTGCGGTGTAAGTATAAGACACCTGGATTTGAAACTGAGTCAAACTACACTTTTTTATGTAAATAATATCATATTTCAACGAATAAAATTACATTTTGCAAACTTTTAAAAATTTTGAAAAATCGGTAAAGCGGAGTTTAGGATTGCTGCTAAACAATTCCGATGGAAATTTCTTTCAGCTTGTCGTGGTTCTTTTTACACCGAAACTATTATTGAACAAACGAAGCGTCGAGACTTCTGGTGGATATTCTGGATTTGTATAGCCTGGCTTACAACCGCGTTATGTGAACAAGTGAAGAATTTACTCCAAACATTACAGTTGCATGGCATGCATGCCACTATGCGTATTCACAATAATAATAATGTAATAATGTAAAACCCTAGGTAGCCTAAAGGTATTTGTGTTTTAATCTAAAGCGTCCATCCAGTTTAATATCGGTGTCTGTGACGTAAACACCAATACAAATATAGCAATTGGTGTTTACGTCACAGACCGCGATATTAAACTGGATGGACGCTTTAGATTAAAACACAAATACCTTTGGGCTTCCTAGGGTAAAACACTTCTATTATAACGCACGTTTCATCAGTCATATATTAAAATGTTGTATAATTTCATGATTTGCAAACAGGGTGAAACCAGCGGGATGCAATTATTGGGTAGGATGAATATTTATAGCTATATTCTGTTCTGCCCGATGGTAATATGGATAACACGGAGTCGGAGCTCCGGAGCCGGAGTTTCAGAGCCGGAGGCCCGGAGTCAAAATTACGAAGTCTGACGTAATAATATTGGAAAACACGGAGTCAAAAATTATGGAAAACACGTAGTCTGCCAAAAACATGGAAAACACGGAGTATAAATGTTTGGAAAACACGGAGTCAACGTAAATTATACATATATTCATTAATGAAGGATCGCTCATAAGTCTATACTAATTTTTTTTACCACAGTAATAGTATAAAAGAAAGAATATACAATAACAAAAGATTATAGCTGTAATGCCTCTTGCTCAAAGTCATAGAATTATGGTTGTAGCTAACTACATTACGTGTCCTTATATCATCTTAGATCACACCAAAACTGCCACATCCAATTTCCTCTTTGTCTACAATATCCTTCCATTTAAATTAAGGAATATTATTTATGTTTAAGGATAAGTTTTTCGGTCGTTTATTTACCATTTGCGGAATAGCAAATACGTTACGCGAATTTGACGCCATGTTGTTTAAAACACGCTATCAAATTTGCATAATTCACGTTGAGCCATTGACCACTGAGCTTGGCAGACTTCCAAACATTTATACTCCGTGTTTCCCATATTTTTAACAGACTCTGTGTTTTCCATAATATGTGACTCCGTGTTTTCCAATATTATTAAGTCAGACTGCGTAATTGACATATTCCATAGAGAGGGTAATCGAAAAAGCTGAACAGCTAAGTGTAGGAAGAGAATACTACATCCCCCACAAAACAGTTATTCGACCTGATGCAGAATCTACAAAAATTCGAGTTGTTTATGACGCTTCTGCAAAAGCACGTAACGGCATCCATTCCATTGCTGAATGAGTGTCTAAACACGGCCCCCCGTTGCAAAATAAATTGTGGGACGTGTTAGAGAGGGGACGCTTTCATCCAGTGGCTCTAACGGGCGACTTGCAAAAGGCTTTTTTGCAAGTACAATATTCGTGAAAACGACCGAGACGCGCTTCGTTTCCACTGGCGTAAAGACCCGCAAGCAGAACTAGAGACTTTGCGATTTACCAGCGATTTAAAACTTCGTGAGGAGTTGTACGTGGACGATCTGATAACAGGGTCAACAACCTTATCAAAGACGGCGGAAGTTAAAGAGAAAACAACAAGTATCCTCGAGGATGCTGCTTTAAATTTCACAAATGGCACTCGAATGAGCGAGCATTGGAAACGACCCAGGTTCAAGATGGTGATCCTACCTACGCGAAACAGCAATTAGGGACCCCAAAAGGGGAAGACAGTAGCATACTTGTACTGGCGTGGAATAAGGGACGAGATACATTGGCGGTTACAATGCCCACTGATTATACAGTGTTGACTAAAGCCTGGTTTTCACCACTCGCAGATAGACGCCGATACTTGGCGATTCTGACTTGGTGGCAGTCGGCGAGTATCGCAGAAAGGCGGTTTTCATCATCGCAATCTGTCGGTTCTTCAGCGCTGCAAATCCAAATTGAGGCCATTTTTGACAAGAAGGCGGAAAAATTGGATCACTGGGTTCGAAATTAGGATGATTAGCATTTTACGATTGTCGCCGAAGTCCGTAGATGCGGTTTTCATGGTTTTATCAATCGCAGCCTATCTGCGACAAACGCCGATCGTCGTAACAAAACAAATTTTTTTGTTTTGCTACGATCGTCGGGGACGATCGCAGAGTGTCGCAGATGCATTACGATGAGCGGTTTTCACCAATTGCGATGCTCGGCATCTGTCGTAATTTTGATATCGGCGAGCATCGCCGACTATCTGCGAGTGATAAAAACCAGGCTTAAACGAGGCATCCTGGCAAAGTTGGCGAAGATATATGACCCGTTGAGTTTCGTATCTCCTCTAACACTCTCAGGTAAACTTATCTACCGTGCAGCATGCGACACCAAGCTCGCCTGGGATGCACCACTTTCAGATATCCTCGCAAGGTTGTGAAATAAGTGGAACAGTGCACTTCCAGTACAAGTAGAAATTCTACGATCCCTGGTAGTTTATCAGGAGCCAATTAAAGCCATTCAACTGCACTCATTCGGAGATGCGAGCAATAACGGGGTAGCTGCGTGTGTTTATCTGGTAGTTGAACAAGAATCGGGAACTAACCAGGGCCTGGTCGCCGCGAGATCAAGGTTACCAAAACGTGGAATAACGATACCGAGGTTAGAGCTGGTAGCGGCGCACATGGCTGTCAATTTGGCATCAAATGTGAAGGCGGCGTTGATCCGTTTTTTAGTGATGAGCATTTAATGTTGGTTAGACAGTTCGGTAGTTTTACATTGGATTACAGGAAGCGGGGAGTACAAGCAATTCGTGGAAAACAGAATTAACAAGATCAACGAACACCAAGGAGTTGTGTGGCGACACGTTCGTTCAGCCTCAAACCCTGCCGACCTTGCAAGTAGAGGAGGGCAAGTAGACTGACTGTTGACTGGCTGCCTAACACAGAACTTTGGCCAGAAAACATAGTGACCGAGCATTCACGGTCTCGTTCTCCGAGCAGTGCAGACGTGCCCTTTTGAGCTCTGTGATTTTCACCATTTAATCCATGATAAAGGCATAAAAGCTAACAATAAACATTATTATGAGTCTTGCCAAACATTTATCGGTCGACGGAGATGTTTATCAGTGGTCTGGTTCATTCGATGAGTTAAAGCTATTTGTAAAAGAGAATTTGGCAGTCAGAGGGAGCTGGAAATCCCCAGGAGGCAATATTAAACAGTTTAAAGACCAAGAATCGGACCTGATAATTAAATGGTACGGCGCCCAATCGAAGAAAATTGTAGTTCAAGCGAACAATAACGAGCTTTTAAAACTGAGGTTCGAAAACCTCGCTACTACGCCTTGCTCTACAGAAGCGTGTAATTATATATGTAACTGTTCGGGTACAGTCTCCGTGGCTGATATAGAAGGCATAAAGCAGGATATAGCAATCCTTGAATCACGACCGGACGCGGTGAGTGTGTATAATACTGTGATTTCAGAGTTAAACTCACTTAAAAGCAAACAGCAATCCTTGGAAGCCATTATTAGCAGGCAAGAAGAAATGATCTGTAATTTGAATAATGAGAACATGTTCTTCAAAGCGAAACTGATGTCTCTTGTTGAACAAACCCCTATTGTGCATTTTCGTGATCATAAGATTAGCACTGATTATACAGGGTGTATCAAAAAAAAGGAGACCTTTAGAAATCAAGCTATTGTTAAAATTTGAATGCCTTTTCAATTGCATTTGCACATATGCTGAACCGTAGTGCGTTAAATATTGATGGCATGCATGCATACATATTAGAAAAAGGAGACCTTTAGAAAATGAATTGAAGTTTGTACACAAGATTGTCTGCTCCTGGAAATTTGAAAATAACTTTAATAGCATAAGGAAAAATAACGACCCAAAAATATTCAAATGACTAAGCACAAACGACTAAGCACAAAAGCAATAACATGCGTGGTAGATTGTTTTAGCTGTTCCTTTAAAACATGAACAAATATTTGTTCATTAATTTTTAACACTGCGCGCGAGTATTAAGGCTGTTCACATGAGTTAGATTGACTTTGAATCCGGAATGGCTCAGCATCCCATTTTACAAACCCTAGCTATTATTAAAATGTTTACATGAGTCAGGAATGAATTACAACTTGATCTAACACAGATTCACTTAACATTTCGATCCGAATTGAAAATTACTGATAAATTTAACATCAAAAGAACTGAATGTCATGGACCATGACCTCAAACGTGGCCTGCATTTCTCGCGAACTGCTTTTCTGATGACGGCAGGCTGGGTATAAGTTAAGACTACAAAAACTCTTTGCTCCGAAGTCAGTTGAACCATTTTTGTACTGGTAGTGTGCTTAGTCATTTGAATATTTTTGGGTCGTTATTTTTCCTTATGCTATTAAAGTTATTTTCAAATTCCCAGGAGCAGACAATCTTGTGTACAAACGTCAACTCATTTTCTAATGTATGCATGCAAATGCAATCATTTTGCAAAGGCATTCAAATTTTAACAATAGCTTGATTTCTAAAGGTCTCCTTTTTTTTGATACACCCTGTATGCTACGTGCAAAAAACAATCAAGATATAAATACCCAACCTAATAACCAAGGGATTAATACTGAAAGAGAGTCAGGAGAGACCAACAATCAAGTTACTAATGCAAATGTGGGCACAAGCAAACAGAATTCAGACAATAAGGAATCTCCCCTAACGCTATCCCCCGATGAATCCTCCAATGTTAATACGTCTCCACAGATTGTATATATCGCGGACAATTCCGTAACTCCACTTCCTAACGAAGTACGTGTAGTCCCGATCGCAAATGATGATGCAAATAAACTTAAAAAACCGGAACGGCAATCCCCTCTCAAGGTAATGAGTGAACATGGGAAAAGAAAACCAGACCACCCTTTCCCCCGAAAAAGTTCAATCCCATGTCCATTTCTTGCCCGCCGTGGTCGGTGCTTAAAAGGGGACAAGTGTGACTACCAACACCCAAAACCATCTCAAGTACTGAAACGGAACATATCTTGCCCCTTCCTGCGCAGAAGAGGATACTGCTTGAAAGGGAATAAGTGTGACTTCTCTCACGATGACCTGGGGCAGAATCCACCTCCTAAGCCTAACCTTGATAGGCGTGTGTATCCTCACCCTCCTATTTACCAATGCCCCGAGACACG